TGGACCCTTGAGTAACTTATCCAAAAAGGCAGTACGCGTGTGGAACGGTATAGATTTTTTGCCATTCTTACCAGCCTCTTATACGCGTCTATCAGTTTCATCACCGGGACTTTTCCACGAAAGCGAAAGTGTTAATGGTAATTCTGATGTCAAGTCTAGTATCCTAATCCTTTTTGGGTCATTTCTGTAACACATAACTAGGAAATTCCAATTTCAACAAAATGAGTTTAAATGGAGCCCCCTCTTTTATTTTTTCGCCCCCCCTCTTCAGCTGCGCCGCGCCCCCGTGGCCTAGTGGCTAACGCTCCTGCCCACCAATTTTGGGTCGCGGGTTCGAACCCACCTGGGGTCATTTCTTTTTTTCTTTTTTCCTACCCCCACCTTGAGCGTTCCAGACCACCGGGAAGCTATTTTCAGCAAGTTTTTTTCCAGCCTTCATCAACATCTCCCCATCGAGCTCGGATTTTTGTTGGACTCAACGAAAAGTGATTCTGAAAGAGCTGCGGAATTATGAGATGGAGAAAAATCCAGAAGATTTTGAATCCCGATTTCTGGAAATTCTGGAAATTCCAGAATTCGTGGAGCGTGGAGAGAAACAGTTTCACGAGGAGATTATTGTGGGAGAGATGTGGAAAATGAGGATGCACGACGATTTTAAGGCGGTGATGAGGAGGCAGAGGATTTGATGGAGACTACAAACTACAGGATATTTTGTTGCTCAATAAATTTTCTTTTGAAATTTTTTTGAATTTTTTTTTTCCAAAATTTTTGAAAAAATGGTCCTAAAAATTCCATTTTCATATTTTTTCTGGAATTTTTTTGTTGCATTTTTTTCAGAAAAAAATTCAGATCTCAAAAAAAATGACGTGTTTAGTGTGTGGATCTCGCGAATCGGAGCCTCATTTTGGTGGAATGTCGTGTCGGTGGGTCTGTTCGTCTGGATGTCTGGGTGTCTAGATGTCCGGATGTCCGGATGTCTGTCTGTCTGTCTATCGAGATGTCCGGATGTCCACCCTCTCTACAGTACCCCTCCCCTAACCTACCGTATTCCAGAGCCTGTGCTGCATTCTTCCGTCGATATTTCAACTCGAAAAAATTCATAATCAGATGTTCCTGCAAAACGAAATCAGCAAATTCCCATCCATGTAGAAGTTGTCGGGTTGCGAAGTGTATAGCAGTGGGGATGACACCGGAGAGTGAGTTTTCTGTACACTTAAAGGTGCATATATCTCGGTCAATTTCGAAATTTAGGATTTTTCGAAATCAGATTCTGAATCAGAAAGAAAAGGGCTTCAAAATGAGTATAATCATGACTACGTTTCGAAAAAAAGGGTTTTTACCTTAAAGGCGCATGGACCTTCAAAATATCGTATCTTGGTCAATTTTTGTCCAAACTCAATGAAAAATAGTGCATTGGAATTAGCAAATTGAGCCGGTTGAAATGAGTATAATTATGCCTAGTTTTTGAGAAAATATTTTTTTAACCCTAAAGGCGCATACTACCGTATCTCGGTCAATTTTAGGATTTTGCAATTTCCGAAAACAGATTTTGAATCAGCGTGAGAAGGGCTTCAAAATGAGCATAACCACGCCTAGATTCCAAAAAACTCAGATTTTTCCCTTAAAGGCATGCCCGTTTTTTCAATTTAATTTGGTTTTTTTTTTGGATTCTGGCAGGCCAAGTTTTTGTTTTGTTTCCTTGATTTCGTTTATTTTGTTTTTATGCTCAGATCCATAGACTCAGTACTAGAGAGGAGGGACGGGGGGAGGGGTCTCTTTTTCTTCGTTTGGCATATTTGATGGAAGGGAATAGGAGTGTTTCAATGATGAAAGCAAGCCTAAATTCTCGATTTCACAAGTTTTTGAAATCAGATTTTGATCCAGAAAGAATGAGCTTCAATATTTGAATGTTCACCTCAAAGGCGCATTGTCTGACTTCTGCAACTGGATTTTCCATCTGAGAAAACGGGTCTTTGTGACTACCGTATCTCGGTCAATTTTGGGATTAAGTAATTTCTGAAGACAGATTATTGCTCAGCATGAAAACGGCTTCAAAACGAGTATAATCATGACTAGGTTTCGAAAAATCGATTTTTTTTACCTCGAAGGCGTATGCCCCTAGTAAATACCGTATCTCAGTCAGTTTTCAATACTAGCAATTTCTGAAAACAGATTCTGAATCAGCGTGAAAAGAGCTTCAAAATGAGTATAAACATGACTAAGTAAAAAAATGAGTATAAACATGACTAAGTTCCGAAAATTTTCGATTTTTACCTTAAAGGAGGCTGAAAGGAAAAAAAAAGATCATGTCTCATGTGAAAATATTCACCACGAATAACCATGAAATGATAGTGTTATTGATGAAAAATGTCTAGTTCTTGAGTTATGATAGTTGCAAAGTACAGAACTTTTATATACGCCACTTTCTAGTGCGTCCGCTGCGTATCGGATGGCGCAGGCGGTTGCAGTTTTGACTCACTTGGGTTCGAACCACACATAGCTACTTTGTTTTTTATTTTCTCGGAAAGAATTATTTAGTATTTTCTGATAAATTTCAACTCTTTTCAAAGCATGAAAGTTTACTTTTCCATTAAAAAATCGCCAAAAAAGCTGAGTGTCGTCAATTAAAATGCCAGGTCCGCAATCGCGTGTTTGCAGACAATTCTACAAAAAATTCTACAAAATGTTGACTACCGTACTCCCTTTCGGCCTCCTTTAAAGGCGCACGCACGTTGAAAAACTCCTTATCTCTGTGAATTTCCGATTTTTTGGTGGAGAAACCACATTTTGATTTCCTGATCTTTTCCATGATTTCCGATGTTTCATTGCTCTCTAGTATTGTTTGCTTTGAGTAAGCAAACCATAAAACAGTTCCTTTTATACAAAAAGCTATGATAACATAGGGAGGAAGTTGCAGTTTCCTCCCCACGCTTTTTCACTTTTTTCAAAAAAAATTTTTTGTAGAATTATGCGGTCAACGAGACCCAAACGGGACCTCTATCCGAAGATTGGATGAAAAGAATTGGTCATCGACGATGGTTTCGAAAATGCCAATCATGGTAAGGTTTTTTTTTGAAAACAATCGAAAATTGAGCAAAAATTCCCAAAAAATGGGCATGAAAATCGAAATTTTGGCCCAAGAGACGCAGACAGCTAGACACTCTCACTATCTGCGTCTCTTCAGTGGCTTGCCAGAAATGAGACGCAGGAAACAAGACGTTCTAGTTGTCTGCGCTCTCTTTTCTCTACCTGAAATCAAGGCAGAGGCGCAGGCAGCTAGACACTCTCGTTGCCTGCGTCCTCTTACTCTGTGCTAAACTTAGAGACGCAGACAGCGAGAGTGTCTAGCTGCCTGCGTCTCTTCCGTGGCTTTTCAGAAAGAGACGGAGGCAACAAGACGTTCTAGCCGTCTGCGCTCTCCCTCTCCACTTGAAATCGAGGCAGAGACGCAGACAGCTAGACACTCTCGCCGTCTGCGTCTCTCAATTAGATATTTCCAGCCCTATCTTCCTCCGAAAGACGTCACGAACATCACCTCCACCCTCCCCAACTTCTCAATCTTCGAATCAAAACGAATCCAAATGTTTCAAAACCTCGGGCTCCAAAACGTTTTTGCCATCACTTCCCTCACCAAACATGATCTCAATTTGACAACAGAATTGGTTGGGGAAGTGTTCCCTGACTTCCAGAAACTATCGAACAACGATAAGAACTCCCTGGTGAGCAGCTTCTTTCTGAAGTTACGACAAATCCAACCGGCACTGGATCATGTGGCACAGAGGGTGGAGTATCAGAGGATGGAGGAGGAAGATGTCAGGATCAGGATGATGGAATTTTTCGATGGAAGTTTTTTGGAGGGACAGGAGATGCGGCAGGAGGATATTTGGAGGTGAGCATGGAATTTTTGGAGGGTTCAGGTCTAGGCTGGCCCGATGAGATATGAAAATCTGAGCAAAAATGGCCTAAATCGGTCTAAGTTGGCCCAAATAGGTCTAAAAATCCTAAATCGGCCTAAATCGGCCTAAACGGTCAAATGTGGCCCTAGTCGGCCCTAATCGGCCTAAAGTGGCCCACAACGACCCAAATCGGCCCAAATCGGCCCAAAACGTCGTAAATCGGCCTAAATCGGCCTAAATTGGCCCAAACGGCTCTAATCGGCCCAAATCGTGCTATATCGGCCCTAATCGGCCTCAATCGGCCTAATTTGGCCTGAATGGCTCAAACCGGCCTAAACCGGCTCTAATCGGCCTAAATCGGCCGTGATCGGCCTAAATTGGCCGTTGTCGGCCCTAAACGGCCTAAATCGTTCATAATCGACCAAAATCGGCCCTATCCAGCCTAAATCAGCCCGAATCAGCCAGAATCGGCCTAAATCCACCCTAATCGGCCCTAACGGCCTAAATCGGTCATAGTCGGCCTAAATCGGTCATAGTCGGCCTAGATCGGCCATAATCGGACTAAATCAGCCCAAATCTGGCCTGAATCGGCTCAAAACGGCCTAAATCGGCCCCAATCGGCCCAAATCGACCTAAATCGGCCTTAATACACCAAAACGGCTTAATTTGGCCCGACAGGGCCCAAAACGGCCTGAATCGGCCCTAATCCGCCTAAATCGGCCCAAATCGACCTAAATTGGCCTAAATCGGCTCAAATCGGCCTAAATCGGCTTAAACCAGCTTTGAACAGTCTAAATCGGCCAAAATAGCCCTATATCAGCCCTAATTGGCGTATATCGGTCATAATTGGCCCAAACGGCTCAAAGGGATCCTACCGGCTTGAATCGGGCCGAACTGACCCAAACAGCCTGAAATCAGCCTTATGCGGCCTAAATCGGCCTAAATCGGCTAAAATCGGCCTAACTTGGCCTGAACGGCCCTGTTCGGCCTAGATCGGCCCAAACTTGCCTGAATGAATTGAATCGGCCAAATCGACCTAAATCGGGCCTCTAAGGGGATTTTAGGCCTGAAATGAGGGCTTTGAAACTTCGCCTTTTCGGGCCTGAATTGGACTTTTTTTCCTGACCTCAAAATCCCTACATTTTTCCAGAATCTTCGGCCCGCATTGGACATATTTCTTCGAAAGAGTCATTGAGCCCATTATTGCTCTTCAACTGGACCAGATTGAGTTCATGGCTATTATTTGGATACTGTTTTTTGATCCAGGTGAGTTAGAGAGACGCAGACACCTAGAGTGTCTGGCTGTCTGCGTCTCTACTTTCATTTTCCTGACGCAAAAGACGCAGACAGTTTGACACTCTAACTGTCTGCGTCTCGTGAGCGAGAAGAGACGCAGACAGCTAGACACTCTAGCCGTCTGCGTCTCACTCTCACTACAACTACACTATTTCAGCCT